TAGAAGCCACCAGCCACTGGGGTGGCCTGGTCGAGCCTGGGGCACCTGGAGTCCTGAGCTAGTAGTATCTGGTGTGAGCTGCCTCCTCTCTTTAGCCCAGGTTGCTGCTGTATAAATACAGTTTTCTGTGTGTGCCATGATGTAACAAAGGTTGAGAAGGACTGTTCTGGAGCAGTGGCTCTTGACCTTGGTTTCCAAAAGGATCAAAGTCATATTCAAGACACACTCCCAGGGGCACATGAATGCATCTTAGAAACAGCTGGGACTTTGGGAGGTCACATCTTTCCCAACCCCCATTCCATGTACATTTCTTACAGATGCTCAGCAGGTCTGCCTTGACACTTCAATGATGGCAGCTTACGACCTCACAAGACCCCCGTTCCATTTTATAACTGGGCTAAGATTTAGAAAATCCTCTCTTTTATTGAACCAGAAGCTTTGGCCTGATTCTGTCCTTTGGGCCATGTAGAATAAATTTATACTATGCCATAAGAGACAGCCCTCTGACATTGTTCACCTTCCCTACAGGTTTTTGTTTGTTTTAATAGACTTTATTTTTTTTAAAACAGTTTTAGGTTTACAGAAAAATTGAACATAGGTTTCATATATTCCTATCCACACCTCGTACCCAATTTTCCCTATTTTTAATATAAAAACCAGTTGCCATCATGTCAGCTCTGACTCATAGTGACCCTATTATGTCAGAGTAGAACAGTACTCCATAAAGTTTTCAATGGCTAATTTTTTAGACGTAGATCACCAGGCCTTTCTTCCAAGACACCTCTGGGTGGATTGAAACCACCAACCTTTCTGCTAACAGCTAAGTGCGTTACCGTTTGCTTGCACCACCCAGGGACTAGGTTAATGAATCAATATTGATATGTTATTATTAACTAGCATCTATATTTTATTTTTATTATTCAGATTTCCTTAGTTTTTACCTAATGTTCTTTTTCTGTTCCAGGATCTCATCCAGGTTACCACATTACATTTAGTTGTCGCGTCTCCTTAGGCTCCTCTTGGCTGTGACATTTTCTCATACTTTCCCTGTTTTTGATGACCTTGAGGAATACCTGTTAGGTGTTTTGTAGATTGCCCCTCTGTTGGAATTTATCTGATGTTTTTTCTCATGATTAGACTGTGGTTATGGGTTTTGGGAGGAAGACCACATAAAGTACCATTTTCATCATATCTCTTCAGGAGTATGTAATACCAACAGGGTTTATGACTGTTGATGTTGACCTTGATTGCCTGGAAGTAATGTTTATACAGTTTCTCCACTATAAAGTTACTGTTTTTTTTACCCTTTCTATACTGTACGTTTTAGAAGGAAGACACTATGCACAGCCCACACTTAAGGCGTAGGGATTTATTCTCCCCCTTCTTCAGGATGGAGCTGTTGTTGTTGTGTGCCATCTAATCAATTTTGACTCATAGCGACCCTATAGGACAGAATAGAACTGCCCCATAGGGTTTCCTAGGCTGTAATCTTCATGGGAACAGATTGCCAAGTCTTTTCTCCCATGGAGCCTCTGTTGGGCTCAAACTGCTGACCTTTTGGTTAGCAGCCAAGCATTTAACCATTGTGCCACCAGAGCTCCTTTAGGATGGAGTATCTACACACTTTCTTGGAATTCTTCTGCATTGGATATTTGTCTTTTCTCCTTCATTTATTAATTTATTCAATCATTTATTTAGATCCATATGTACTGAAGAATATTTATTTTATATTTTGAGTTATAATTCAATACTATTTTATTTATTTGTTGCTCAAATTATTACAGCTTTAGCGTTTATGGGCTCTTTCAGTTTGCTCCTGTGCCCATTTGACATACTCCCATCAATGGGTTTTGTTTTAGTACTTTTTTACTTTCTGTTACTACAAATGTTCTAGACACATCTTGTGTATTTTCTGCCGTAGTCCTAGAATCAGCTGTTTCTTCTAGGAACATTTGTGCCTTTTACTGGTGAGTGGTATTAGAAACCACCATCTGGGTGCTAGGTGTACTTGTTGCTATTGGGATATAGTTTCTTTTAGGCCCTCTCAGTTGACAGAGAAAAGAAATATTTGTGTGTATACAACTTGTATACACATACATGTATAAATATTTCTATAGGTAGCCATCTGTATCTACAGTAAGCTAAGCATGAGTTCTTACTGATGTCTCCAACTCTAATCCATTACCACATGGGTCACTCTAGCCTCCTTCCCTTACTGATTTGTAAATTTCCACTCCAACAGTGAGAAATCTGGCTCCCACCATCCACCATCCATTTATTTAATTGTTAAATTCCAGTATACATGTGTAGCAGTATCAGAATTGTTAACCTCCCAGAAGTTTTCTTTTTTCTCAGATTAAACATCCTCAACTCCTTTAATCATTTTAGGCACCACACTATCATGCATATCTTCTACCAATTCTGAGCCCATGGTTTTCCTGTATCATTTAGTCTGTTGTATAGATGAGGAAAATGAACTTTGAGAAGTGAAGGAAATAATAATAATAATAGCAAACACTTATCCTTAGCATATGCAAGCACTGCTTTAAGTCTTTTATATGTACTAACTCATTTAATAGTTACAAAAACCCTATGAGGTTTTTTTATATATGTATATTATCCCCATATTACATATGAGGAAAGGTTAATAACTTGCATAAGATCAAACAACAAATGAGTAGTGGAGCTGGAATTTAAAACCAAAGGAGTCTGGCTCCAGAGTCCATACCTATGAGCACTATTTTATGCCACACTGCTGCTAGAGGGATCTTTCTGAAACACTGCTTTGTACATATGACTCCCTGCCTTACAAACTGTCAGTGGTTCACTATTGTCCATAGGCTAAAGACCAGTTAGCTTAGCATTAAGTACTTTCCAGAGTCCACAATCCATGTTCTGCTGCAGCTCAACCAACATGACCAGCAAAGATCGCTAGAGCACGCCTGGATACTTTTGCTTCACATAATTAGCATGCTCTCTGCCCTTCCTCCCAGCTAAAGCCCATACCAAAACCCACCTCTTCCAAGAAGCTCCAAAACGACAGCCAGGTCCTGCATGTAGCACATCTTAGCCAATCAAATTGGCTTGGTTCAAGGCCATGGCCCATACTCTATAAAGTTCCCTTGCCCTAAGACCACCTCCCTATCAGAAGGTCAACATTGACTATTCTAAATATTCCCATCATTATAGCTCTGTAGAGTGCTTGGCTGATTCTGGGTGATATTAGGTTGAAGTGTTGTGCCCAGATCCTATTCCAGTGTGGCCAGTTGCACTGAGATTTACAGAGGTAGGTCTGGCCCCAGCTGGGTCAGCTTTGGATAAATGTCCTTCAGTTCAGTTCCCTGGTGGGACAGTGGGGAGCTGGAAGGAGGACCCCTAATTTCTGCTTCGAAGAGCAGAACCTAGATTCAAGCTGTAGCCTGTTGTTCACCAAACTTTAGTCATTCTAGTGCTACCTTTATGATTTTTGCCACATCTGCACTGTACTCACACTTCACTTTTTTTACTTAAATTTTAGTCTCTCCTAAATAATAATAATCACAAAATTACAGCTTTATGGTGCTAGTTACAGTTTTTCAAATGGGTGTTATAATAAATTCATAACAATTAAATGACTTTATCTATATACTCTACACAATTAACTCACCTACCTCTATGGTGCATTCACAACACTTCAGGACACACTGCTCTAGTGTTTTGGTCTTCCCCTCCCCACTCCTTTGTAGATGTGAGGTCTCTTCTGATCAGGGCACTGGTTTCAGGCTGGGCTCCTATATTCTGAGTCACTCCAAGTGAACACTCTAAGGGTGAAAAGAATTCCTTGGGCAAGTTCTTTGAGCATTATCTTCTCTTTAGCAGGAGCAGTTCTGCTTTTACCTCTTTCCATGTCTGGGGGTTTCATATAAGATTTGGTTTGAAGAAAGGCTTATATGGAGAAGAAGTGTGAAAGTCATAGGACAAGTCAATTAAGAATGAACCCTGGTCGAAAGTTCATTGGGTCTTCCTTAATTCATGTATTCACTCAGTACTTCTTTGAGATTCTCATAGTTATTCCTTGCTTTGAGGTCAAGAAAGCTGACTTCGTGGGTATCTTTATTATAATGGAACAAAATTAATGTCTGTGTGACTTGGGGTGAAGCCATGCCAAGCATTATACCAGTTCTCTTGCACTTGATCCAGGTTGAGAGTAAACCTTTGATTCAAGCCCAGAAGCCACCTTCTAAGGTCAAGAACCTCAGAATGACCCAATTCTTGCATAAGGTAGAAAGTGAGACTTAGTGCCTTTCGTCTAGGAGAGAATGGGGTGGGGGGGGGGATGTGTGTGGCTAGGACAGCTTTTAAAAGGCAATTTTGGTCAACTCAACAAAACATATTCCATCTACATCACTACGCCTCATCACAGAATTTTAAATGTGTCTATTAATTCTCACACTACCTCTCCCCTCACCAACATAAATACATACATAAAAAATTGAAATAAAGCAATAAAGGCAAGGGACAGTCTGAGTACTTGAAATGACTAATTCAAGTCAATAAAGTGGCATAGAGGAAATGAGAGTTTCTGTTGCAGCAAGGAAGAGTTGTATGTGACAGGAAGGACTTCCTCACGTTAGGGTGGTAAGATTTTGGAATGATAATATAATGGCTAACATTTATGAAATACTCTACATAGATTACCTCACAAAAGCCCCATGAGGTAGTCCCATTTTTGCCCCCATGGTAGTGATGAGATAATTGAAGCTTAAAGAGAGAGGCTAGGTGACCTGTCCAAGGTCCACAGTTAGTAAGTGGTAGAGCAGGAATTCAAATCCAGAGCCCATCTTCCTGACCACTCTGCTGCCCTGGAATCTGCATTTCTCTCCAAGAACTTTTGGAATAAGTTTAGGCCTGGATTTGAGTCAGGCCTCCTTTGCTGTGAGGAGGGGGCTGGAAGAAATGACCTCCTGGAGATATCTTCTTGCCTGAGGCTTCTGTAACATATCCAATTTCTCATTCTGTAGAACACAAACACCAACATTACTTCATTCCCTTTTGTGGACACCAAGGGAAAGAAGAACATGGTCAACTTCCCACGTATCAACAATAAAGTCCTGCTGAAGCCATCCTTGCTGTATCAGGTGAATATGGGGCTGTGAAAGGCAGGGGAAGGACCTGGTTTCAGGCCAGAACCAAGTTTAGAAAGGCAATCCAGGATGGTGGGGAAAGCACAGCATCAGCTGAAGAGTTGGGTTCTCGTCGTCTCTCACTGTTCACAATGAGTGCAAACTTGAGGAAATAAGTCATTGGCCTTCTCTTAACCTTGATTTCTTTATCTGCAAAATGGGCTCTCTATTGGATTGTGTTGAGGCCTCACTGAAAAAAGGAGAGATGAAGTGCTTGATACGTAAATGGTGGACACATACAAAACATTTGTTCTCCTCTCATGCCCCCTACCTTTTGGTGTGAGGACCAAATGAGATAATATGTGAGGAAGTGCCAAAAGAGGTGTTATACACACATAAGTTCAAGTTTATGTACCCTGAGCAAGTCACTTTATCTAGGTGGGAATTGGTCTTCTCCAAAGCAGAGGTAAGAAACCATTCCCTTCTCTTCCTACAGTAAGATGTCACTGGGGTTGCCAACTGAATACTATAATTTACATGGGTCTCCCAGAGAATAGTATGATCATCAGTCAGGTACTGCTTTTGGGAGAAAGATTAAGAAAACCCACTGTCTCATAATTACTGTTGTCTCCCTATAAAGGAAGAGGGAAAGAGGCTGGCTGGATGTGGGTGTTTGTGGTCAAAGAAATCGTTTATGACCCTGAGGAGAAAGCCTAAGTAGCCGTTTATTACAAATCTCTTTCCCTGGACAGGAGAACCAAACTCACAGTCAGGTATCAGCCTGTGAGCTTAAGCCTTCAGAAATACTTTCCCACTCCAGCATTAAAACCCAAGATCCCAAGCCTGAGGAGAAACCACCAAGGAAGCACAAAGTGCCTCTGACAGCTGCAGGTATGGCTTTGGGTGCAGTGGCTGGGTCTGATGGGAGTGGGTATAGATGGTTGAGCTTCATAGAGTCATAGCATATTAAGATTTCAAAAGAGCATCTATTATGCGCCCACATTATCCAGTACTCAGAGCACTTCTACAATAGCTTTGCCTTTGATCATCTCTCCCCTTCTTAAACAATCTCAGTAACTACCCACAAGGAAATAACTTCAGTTCTGAGCAAGTTCTGCCTTGTACAGAGCTGATCTCTGCCTCCCTGCTATCTTTAGAAGGAGCTCTGGTGACACAATGGTTAAGCACTCAGCTGCTAACTGAAAGGTTTGGCAGTTCAAACCCACCCAGTGGCTTTGTGGGAGAAAGAACTGGTGATCTGTTCCCATAAAGGTTACAGCCTTATGGGGCAGTTCTGCACTGTCACATGGAATCGCTATGAGTTGAAATCAACTCAATGATACCTAACAACAACACTATCTTTAGGCCCTGAGTCTGTCCTCTGGGCAAAGAGCATGTCTTATCCAACTTATACATGCCTGCCCTTCACATATATGAAGACAGAGGTTGTGTTTCCCAGATGTCTTTTTTTCTCCTGGTAGTTCCTTCTTCAACTCTTTAGCAGTTTGTCAAATCATGTGGTACAGCCCTCCCTCAATCTTGTTCCTCTGCTCTGAGCACTCTACCCTGTGTTGTCTTAGTTACCTAGAGCTGCCATAACAAAAGATACCACAAAGTGGGTGGCTTTAAAGAACAGAAATGTATTTTCTCACAGTTCTGGAAGTTTAAGTTCAAATCAGGGACTCAGCCATGTCAGATCCTTCTGTGGGCCTCTCTCCTTGTTTCAGTTGACTGTTGGCAATCCTTGGTGTTCCTTTGTTGCTAATAGATACATCTGCCTCTGTTGTCACATGGCATCTCCTTCCTGTGTGTCTGTGACTATTCTCTTTTTGTAAGACATCACTCAGAAGGGATTAGGTTTAGAACTCACCCTACTCCAGTATGATCTCATTAACATAACAAAAGAAAACTCTTATTTCCTAACAGGATAACTGCAACATAACTTTTTGGGGACACAATTCAGTCCATAACAAGTATATATTTCTGTGTCTCTCTGAAGTTGTGAATTTCACCCCACATCCCAAAGCACCAGACCCCTGATGTATTTGGGCCAGTATAAAATAGAGAAGTACTAACACCCATTCCTTCCCTGTAGTCTGAGATACTCACTGGCTCAGCTGAAGACCTGAGTGGCAGTACCTCCTGGGCTTTCAAAGTCACATTGATGTTACCTACCTGGTCCCTGAAGACATTAGAGTTTGCAGACCTTCTCAGGATAGCCTGTCTGTTTGTGTAGCCTATGTCATGGATTGAATTGTGTTCCCCAAAAATATCTGTCAACTTGGCTGGGTCATGATTCACGGTACTGTATGATTGTGTAATCTGATGTGATTTCCTTATGTGTTGTAAACTCTATCACTATGATGAGGTTATATGTGATCTCCTTATGTGTTATAAATTCTGTCACTGTGATGAGGTCATATTGATGAGGTTTACAAGATTAGATAGTGTCTTAATGCAATCTCTTTTGAGATATAAAAGAGAGAAGTGAGCAGAGACACATGGGAACCTCATACCTCCAAGAAAGCAGTGCCAGGAGGAGAGCATGTCCTTTGGACCTGAGGTTCCTGCGCAGAGAAGTTCCCAGACCAAGGAAAGACTGATGCATTACAATGACCTTTCTCCAGAGCCAAGAGAGAGAGAAAGCCTTCTCCTGGAGCTGATGCCCTGAATTTGGACTTGTAGCCTACCGGACTGTGAGAGAATAAACTTCTCTTGGATAAAGCCATCGACTTGTGGTATTCCTGTTAGAGCAGCACTAGATGACTAAGACAGCCTAATACCACATTAACTTTAGTAAACCCCACCTCCCCTACATACTATTGTTGACACTAAGTTTACTCTTGAATTTTTTTACCCGTGCTGCTGTAACCATAACTCTTTGAGGACTGAATTTTGCCTTTTCTTTTGTGTTTTCTTTCTAATTTGTTGAAATCAAACATAAGACTTTAACATTTATCCTTGTTAAATTTTCTTCCCGTGAGATTCAACATGCCTGGTCCTTAGTGAACCGCCTGGTTGAGGAGGGGGCTGGCTGGCTCAGGAACTAGAAGGGATGCCACCACCTGCACCCTGGGAAAATCCCCATGCTGCCTCCACTTAACTGACACCTGCAATGCTTTTCACACAGAGGCCCTAAAGTTTTTTAAGAACCAGCTGTCTCCATATGAGCAAAATGAAATCCTGGGCTACACAGAGCTATGGTTCCTGGGGCTTGAAGCTGAGAAGCTCAACATGGCTTCAGAGAAATTCAGCAAGACAAGTTTTGATGATGAACATGGCTCCTATATGAAGGTGATGGGGGAGTGGCTTATGGTAACCACAGGGGGCTTGGGACTTGGGGATAAGAGATAGTCAAGAAAGGAAAAAACTGAGGAGTATTTTAAGCACTTGGTGATGATATATCTGGGGCTAGGAATCCTGAAGGATTCTAGTAGGTGATAAACTAAAGGAATATAGTGTTTAAAAATGGGGAAACACGCACTTAATGTGCAAAATATTCTCCTAACAGGACACTAATTCTCTCCAAGAGTATTTGGGGTAAGAGGTTTGCATGCTGGGTGAACTCCTACAGGCTTTCCTCCCATACATCCCTGGACCGGTTGGAAAAGGCTGAAGTATGGAATAAAATGCAGTCTCCCTAATGTTCCTTTTTTTGTTTCCTCCAAAGAAGCCCATGCATGGAACCTTCTCCATTTTATGATAGATGTTATTTTCCCCACAGATAAAATAAGTTTTTTCTCTGTAGTCCCTTGACTACCTTCAGTTTTCTGAAGATAGACCCTAATGACTCCTCCTCTTCCCCTTCTGAATGTACCTTAGGGGTTCCCCAGGATCCTGCCTTTTCCCAGCCTGAAGGAGAAATCTGGGCAGTGATCTGTGTCCCTTCCGCTTCAGGACCACTTTTGAGGACCTCTAGATTATATAATGCTTAGTCCCCTGGGCTTGTGGGCTGTCAGGAGTTTCCTCTTCTGGACATTTCCTTACAACTTCATTAGTTTCTTAGGAGATAGAATAAGTCTTTAATGGCTTCATAGAAGAGGAAGTTTTTCTTAACACCGAGGGCACTGTTTATCAAGCTTTGCTGTGCATATGAATCTCCTGGGGCTCTTGATAACATACAGATTCTTATTCAGCAGGTCTGGGGTGGGGCCCAAGATTTTGCATTTCTAACAAGCTCCTAGGTGATACCAATGCTGCTAGTCCATGGACCACACTTTGAGAAGCAATCATTTAGAGTTTTTTTGCACATGGCTCCCATCGAGAGAGCCGTGGTTCTCAACCATTTTTAGCTCAAGCATCCATTTGGGAGTCTGATAAAAGCTATAGATTCTTGCTCCAGAAAAGGCACCCTGAACATCCACACAATTTCAGGGGATTAATGCTTCCTTGGTTAAGAATCCTCAACATAAACTTTACCTCCAATTCAGCCAGACATCCTCAACCCCCCACCCCTACCCTACCTGGGCCTAGATGCCCTGGGAAATTTCCTAAGGATGTTGGCACTACCTTTAAGTTACTTCACTGGGACTTAATCCCCAGTCTCAGATCTTTGAGAGCTGTGTTTTTGATGGGGGCTAGGGGATAATATGCGCTCTCTGCAGGATGGGATCTCCTCCCTTTTACATTCTGATACACATGCAGATAAATAATGCACATAGCCAAATACCCAAACAAGCAACACAGCTGCATTCTCACATTTATTTTGTCAGCAGATGTTAATTCAGTACGTATTTATTGAGCACCTGTCATGTGCTTGGGCATCTGCTGGACTCTGGAAATATAAAAAGAACTATCAAAAATGAGTGAGACAGGGCCCTTGCCCTCAGGTTATCACAGTCAATGCCAAAGTTGACATGTGAGCAAGTAATTATGATACAACCAAACTGGTGGTGTGTAGAAGGTATGTACAAATGCTGGGGAAACACACATGTACCTTCACAAACAGGTGTGCCAGAACCTGTTCCTTGTCCTTTCCCCATGCACTCTACTGGCAGACCTTTACCAGTAGATGAACCCATATTATCAGTAAAGTTGTATGTGTACATATTCATGGACATGATTCCTCCTGTACTCACAGATTCCCACCACACAATCACAAACATATCCTGAGGACTTGTACACAAACACTTATCCTTCACCTCTCCCAAAGTCATGAGTATAACACTAGGAATTAGAGATTACCAGAATTGGAAGACCTTAGGGATCATCTTATCCAGATCCCTCGTTTACAGATGAGAGCCCTGCAGCTCAGAATGGGCAAGTAGCTCGACTGAGGCCACCCAGATAAAGTCCTCTTAGTCTAAAACTTCCTATGGCTTTGCTTAAACATCTGGTCCCTGGTTTCCAGCACAAGGAAAAATACGGATGTCTCTGGCTCTTGGAAAATAGAAGGAAGGAGGGTCTAAGTCTGTACTGCTAACAGCAGGGTAGGGTTAAATCTGGATAAGTCAAAAGGAGAACCAGATCTGCCCAGAAAGGGGAGTACCTTTCTATGATTAATGGAGACACATCCAGGGTCTGAAGTGCAACTTCCCCCAAACTAGAGTTGTTAACCAATTGCATTCAAGAATCTTGGAATGTCCAAACTAGAAGGGATCTTCAGGGCCACCCTGTATAACCTTTTTACTTTACTTTACTGTAACACATGCTGAGAACTAGAACCTGACTTTCACAAAGACCATCCAGTGTTCTTTGCACTGCCTGACATAAGGCAGAGTTTGTGGGACTTTCCCTGGCACCACATGCAATATCTGGGTAGTCTGGCATCTGGATACCAACCTAACCATAGTCATAGTGTTGAGATGAGAGTGGGACTTGCACTAGTGCCCACTGCAGTTCAGGCAGTTTCCCCAGGGGTCAGCCATGAGCTGGGGATGGTATCCAGGGGCCCCAGTGTCTGGGCAGCTCTAGAGCCCATGGTTCTGCTTCTCACCCCTGGCCTGGCTTCTGCAGGTCCTGCATGACCACATTGCCTACCGCTACGAGGTTCTGGAGATGATCGGGAAAGGGTCCTTTGGACAGGTGGCCAAGTGCTTGGATCACAAAAACAATGAATTGGTGGCCCTGAAAATCATCAGGAACAAGAAGAGGTGTGGCTTGGCGGATGGTCTAGGCCATAGAGGAGGGACTGTATGACTCTTGCCGCTTCATAATGCCAACTCCTCCTGACTCTGCCTCTTTCTGTGAAATTCGTCTTCCTTTTCCTCTTTTTCTCTCTACCTATATGACTCCAAGATGGGGCAAAAAGTAGGCAAGGATATAGAATTTCTAGTGCTTTCTGCCACCCCCAGGCAGTCTTGTTGGGATCATGGGGAGGGGCTAAGGAAATGGGCTAACTGCTGCAGTATGACATAACATCTATGTTTTCTGTCCCTGTTCCTCACCCTCCTTGCCCCTGTCTTTCACCCTCCCTGCCCGTGTCCAATCACCTCAGATTTCACCACCAGGCCCTGGTAGAGCTGAAGATTCTGGAAGCTCTCAGAAGGAAGGACAAAGACAATACCTACAATGTGGTGCACATGAAGGACTTCTTCTACTTCCGCAATCACCTCTGTATCACCTTTGAACTCCTGGGGTCAGCTACTTTCTCTTTTTAATTCATTGTCTTTTGAAAAGGTACTTAAGTGACAGAAGAGAAACTTTGAGGTCAGACACTAGATTTTTCTGAATGTGAAGATTTAATGACTACAATGGGCTCAACAGCCACTTAGTTATCTAGAAGGCCCAGGAGTAAGGTGTCTGGGACCAAAAACTGCCCATCTCTAAAAACTGCCCATCTCTCCCCATCTCTCATCTTCAGTCATGCCTGTCACCTGCCAGCATACCTATGATGCACTGCCCAGGTGCTGGGCACTGAACTGGGTGACATAACCCAAACCAGGCCCCTGCCCTCAAGAGCTAAACTGAAATACGTTGAGAAGGACTTTTATTTGCTACCATATCCCCCACTCATTGGCTTCTCAACCCCATGGCAGAGATTGTCACCCAAGGGAGCAGGCAGCTGGCTGCTCAGAATGGGAAAGCCTTTGATTTTGAACAAACAAGGACCAGGGCAGATATTTGAATAAGAGATCAGAATCTGACTTAAATAGATTGACATTGCCTGGCAGAATACAGTCATGAGCTGCATAATGTCCATTTGGGCAGTGTACGACTGCATATACTTCTGTGGTCCCATAAAGTTATAACAGAGTTCAGAAATCCCGATCAGAGAACAGGACATAGAGAACATAACTGAACAAAGCCAACACAATAGCTTCCTGCATGCAACATGTGTATCTCCTGCCTCTCGTATACAAACTGATTGTGTATAATGGTACAGTACATATATAACCTGTAATACATGTGCCTTGATAGTCATAATAAACACCTGTGTTACTGGCTTATGTATGTACTGTACTGTACTTTCTATTATTATTTTAACGTGAACTTTCCCTACTTACAATTTAAAAAGTTTACTGTATAACACTGTATGCTTCAGCTTGTAGGCAGCATCCAATCTTGTGTTTGCACAATGTCCAAATCACATAACGTCCTATTTCACAGAACATATTGTGGATGTTCAGCGATGCATGACTGTACTAGAAGGGACATGCTAATTGGAAGGGCTAATTCTGTTGTGTTTCCCTCTGAGAAGACAGTCTGATGCAATTTAAATAAAGCCAGAAACCCAGAATGCATTTATCCAAGGAGAATGATCAGGGGCTCTCAGAAGCTCAGTGTTATTGGATTCACTGGGCTGGCAGCTTGTGGTCCCATGACACCACTGCGAATGGTGAGATCTAGGAACTAGCTAAATTTGAGTCAGAAATTAGCCTCTCCTCACCATCTCTGATAATTATAAAATATGCTTCACTCTCCAATATGCAGAGGTGGATTATCTTCCCTGCAGCCAAGTGGACAACCCAGGCTGCCTTTCTTGGCTATCAATCACAGAGCACAGTTAGGATACCATTTACTTAAAAGAGCTCTGAGAGGTCAGGAGAGGCAAGTATATGTCTTCAGTCGTATGGAGGGAGAATCTAAAGCCCAGAGAGGTTGGGGCATTGCCTAGGGTCACACAGCTAGTCAGGATCGGACCAGAGCCAAGTCCCTCACATCTCCATTATACCCCTCAAGAATTAATGGCCTCCTAAGTACTGCCAGGGTTAGAGAAGGCTTAGAGATAGAAGATTAAGAGAAACCAGGAAGAGGTTGATGCAGAGTTGTTTCTGGGTGATTACTGCTCTTTCCCTCCTCTCCTCGTCTTACAGTTATCACAGAGGTTGCAAACTGGTAGCCCACAGATAAATGTTTTTGTTTGGGTCATGCACCTTTTTAAAATGGTTTGTGTTAGTTTCCGACATTTGTAAGTCAGTGGATTTCATATAATAGAGCAGACTCTCTGGCTCACTAGAAAATATAGGATGATCTGGCAAGAATGAGCCCTCATTCCTGCAAAGTGACAGCTGGGATCAAGCAGCCAGACTCACTTTAGATGGGGTGAGGTTTCTCTGTTGTGCCTCAGCCCCCATCTCCCACTCTCCTGTTCCCTCACCTATCAGTGACCTGAATTCTATAAGACAACCATTCATGTTTGGCAAGTAGAGGGCCAGCAAGGGTGAGGGAGACCCTCAGTGAGATGGATTGGCACGATAGCTTCAATGATAGACTCAAACATGCTGATGACCATGAGGATGATGCAAGACTGAGCAACATTTCATTCTATTATACATAAGGTTGCCATGAGTTGGAGTCGACTCAACGGCATCTATCTGTCTATCTGTCTGTCTGTCTGTCCATCTGTCCACCCATCCATCCATCCGTCCGTCCGTCCATCCATCTGTCCATCCAGTCTGGGAAGGAATGGCTGCTTAGTTGAGTAACTGGTAGCTTCCTGGATCCCTTCCAAGGGTCTGAAGAACTATGAATATTTCAGAAGTTTGGTCCAGCCTTTTAACACCCATATGCCGGAGGAAGTAATTAAGTCCTCTTTTCACGTAAGAAATGAGGGGACATCTGAGAGGCCAGCACAGCTGAGCTTCACCTTGGGTTCACCATGAATCCAAGGGAATGTTGAGTTTATTAGACACTACAGCCCTGCCTCCTGGTCTCAGGCATGCCTACTACCAGAGGGAACCAGATGGTATGGGATTGTTTGCAGGTTCAAACCCAACACTATACTTTTTACACGGATCACTTCACTTTCTCTCTCTTTCCCAGGATCAACTTGTACGAGTTGATGAAGAATAATAGCTTTCAAGGCTTTAGTCTGTCAATAGTTCGGCGTTTCACCCTCTCTGTTTTGAAGTGCTTACAAATGCTTTATGTAGAGAAAATCATTCACTGTGATCTCAAGCCTGTGAGTATAACCTTGGTCTTGCTATGGGGGCTGGTCCACATCCTCAGGAACTGCTTATCCTATTCCATTCCCCAGGGGTAACTGGAACAGGCATCATGACCAGGGTTTTCAGGGTAGAAACCAAATCAGGCATCTTTATATGCTTTGTAAGCTGAGTAAGGTGCTGTGAAGACTAAGGTACAATAACTGGGAAAGGGAAGAGAGAGATACTTGGTATAATTGAGGAAGATGGGAACAAGAAGATCTGACAGCTTCTCTATAAAAGGCCTGGGGATGGGTGGATTGAGGGGAGGGAGGTGTGTGTCTTGAGCATCGAGATGTGTAGTGAGAAGTCCTGGGAGTATATGGATTTACCCTTTTGTACCCTTTCTTAGTGAGAAAATATCAAGTTATGTGTATTCCTTAGGAGTTCTGCCTGGGGACCTCAAGATCTTCCTGGTCTGCTCTGCAGAGATGTGTGTCATGCAGGCAGGTGGATCACTCTACTCTTCTAAACCCATACTATATCCACTCTACTCTGAGTTGGTTCCAGGGTACAACAAATCCCTGACCACTTTCTCTATCCCAAATGGGTATGCCTTTCCTACATATCTTGCTAATATTCTTCATTGTTGTTAGTTGCTGTCAGGTCAAGTCCAACTCATGGCTGTGCATGCAGAGTAGAACTGCTCCATAGGGTTTCCAATGCTATGACATTTTGGGAGTAGATCTCCAGGACTGTTTCCTGAGGCACCTCTGGGTGGGTTTGAACTGCAAACTTTTGGGCTAGTATTCGAGCACTTAACCATTTGTGCCACCCAGGGACTCCTCATATTCTATACTTACCCCTATTATTGGACAGATTGCTTTGTGTAGGAATTGTTTATCTATCTGTATCTGCCACTGGAATGCAAGCTCCCTCAAGGTCAGAAACCACGTCTTCTCATCATTATATTCTCAGGACCTAACATGATACCTGGTCATGGTAATGACAGGCAATAAGTACATGCTTGTTAAATGAGTTAATGATTACAAATGTGAGGAAGTAATACCGGGAGGTGCTGACCCTCAGAGATATGTAAATATCCCTTAGTTTTATTTACTGCCTTCTACCAAACCCCCAAATTGTTAAAAAAAAAAAAAAAAAGTTTTAGAAACTAACTCATTGGGTAAAGTTGGGATGTTTTTACAACAAAGATTGTCAAGATAGGGATTTTCTCTTGGGACTGTATGGTAAAGGCTCACAAGGATAGTGGTGCATTGATCTAGTCTCCACATCCAAATTCTTAATCCTCAGCTTTGTAGCTCAAAGGGCCCCAACACCCCTGGTCTTTGTGCTGATGCTCAGCAAGCAAATTCACAAGACACTTGGCAGCCAAAATACCAGGTAGCAGATTACCTTGAGAAATAAAACAATCAGACTGGAATATACGTGCCCCTCTAGGGAAGTATACATGGAAGTCATGCAACCAGGAGAATGTTTGGTGTGGATTCAAGAGTCAGGCAATTATTCTTGTGGACTTAATGGTCAGTATTGATGAGCCATGACTGCCTGATGCATCCACCCGCTCTGTAGAGCTATTTCTGACACTATGTTGAGAAGACCAGCACCATCTAGTTAAAGAACTTTTCATTTGAGAAGAGCTAGAGACACACTGGAAATTCTTGCTCTTTGAAAGGCCCTTTTAAGACTTTTACTCATCATCCTCTTTCAGTTAACACAAGAATTCTTTAGAAAAAGTATTATGGACTCAGTTTGCACTTTCTTAGTTTGTGGTGTGAGAGGCTTCAGACCAGGCTTGTTATGCCATATCTAGAATGCTGGGGTACTCAGTAAGTGATCATGTAGTCAATCCACCTGATATTAAAAAAAACCCATTGCCGTCGAGTCGATTCCGACTCATAGCGACCCTATAGGACAGAGTAGAACTGCCCTGTAGGGTTTCCAAGGAGCAGCTGGTAGATTCCAGCTGTGAACCTTTTGATTAGCAGCTGAGCTCTTAACCACTGTGCCACCAGAGCTCCCCATCTGATATTGAGACCCTTGAAAACATGATTAGAACTTTATTCTTCCAGTCCTAGTCAGTCCACTCCCAGACTTTGAGAGGAGAACCCAGAGCTCTGCCTTCTTATCTATGACTCTGCTGAAACACCTGGATACTCAGATTCTGCATTCTGAATGATTTCCCAAAGTCAACATAAAAATCAGAAATCCCAGTCAAATTGCCTTTTTGTTTGTTTGACTCCCTACTGTCACAGCAGTATATCAGCAGGGACATTTAATGGAATGTCAAAAAATTTTATTCAATGGTATTTTTAAGGTCTTATGCTAGCAAGACATAGAGCAGGTGCCAAGGAAGATAAAAGTAAGCCCACAATTTTCAGGAGTTGTAATCTACTTGGGGAAAGAGAGAATATATATAAAAGAAACACTGCAAAGTGGTGAATACTGGGTCCAAAGAAGAGGAACAGACCACAAGTGGAATGCGAAGTCAGAGGAAAGGGAGGATGATGGGATTTGGAGAAGATGTGGAAGGAGGCCACCTGGAAGTGGTAGCATTTTGAGTGAATTAAGCCCTGGAGGATGGTGAGCATTTGGGTAAGTAGAGAGACCAGGGCTGGGGCAACATTGCTACAACTTGACATCTGTCTGTCCTTTTCTCTCTAGGAGAATATAGTGCTATACCAAAAGGGCCAAGTCTCAGTTAAAGTTATTGACTTTGGATCAAGCTGTTATGAACACCAGAAAGGTAGGTCTCAATCCAGTCCCTTTGTCTGAATTTTCCTATTGAATTTCTCTCCCTTACTGAAACAAATACTTCACACATGAGGTCATCTGGGCTGTAGTCTGGGCTCAGCCATAAAAATTGCCAGTATGATTTTGAACAAGGTGCTTCACCTCTCTGAGTCTCAGTTTTCTCATCTATAAAGTGAGAAGATTGAACTAAAGTATCTTAACGATCCTTTGAAGCTCTCATATTCTGTGGATATGGAACTACCCAAGAGTGTTGGGTCTCAAAACTAGGTGTGCTTCAGAATCACTTGACGGCTCTGAAAAATTACTGTTTCCAAGGCCTCGCTCCATATATACTGAATCCAATTTTCTGAGAGTACCCAGGAATCTGCACTTAAGAAAACTTAGCCACTCTAAACATAGCCAATTGCCCTAGGTTCACTAGGCTTTATACTTTTTTCAAACTAGAAATCAGAAAGTAGCCCTGGAGAACATTCACACAGCCTTCACTGAACATCAATTTAATAGTCTGTTCCTTTGGCTTTTATCAGTGTTTGATGTAGAGAACACATTCCAGTCCACAAATATTTATTGAGTACCTGGTATATGCCAGTTACTGTCATGGGCACCAGGAACAAAAAATGATTAAGATACATTTCCTGTTCTCAGGTTGCTTATAGTCTAATGTAAAAGACAGAAAGATAAAAAAGTTAGCACAATAAGTGTAATGACTAGAGATATATAAAGTTGTGATAAGAACATGCAGAAAAGGGGCTTTGAGACCAGCGTTTATGGTGGCAGGGGAAGTCAGAGGAAGCCTCCTGTGGCTCAAAACAGGATGGATGTTTCCAAATATTCTGCAGAACAACTGTTGAAGACTTTTAGGTATGGCTTCTCATAAGGCATTCCAGCTAGAAAACAATATCTCCCACAAAAAACTTGTATGTTTACTCTTCTCATATTGAAAGCTGTGTAACCTATTAGTTACCATTCATCTTGGCTGCCAGGATGCTCACAACTGAATTTGTAATTATTTTATCCTTAGTTTCCTATGATCATTTCTCCCTTTATCTCTGTATTTTCTGATTTTCCTTTTATCTTTATTTTAACCATGAGGCAATACAGAGTAAGGATGCTAGCGTCAGATTGCCTCAGTTCAAATCACAGCTCTGCAACTTATAGCTGAGTGTTCTCGTCTTTAAAAGGGGGTCAGTGCTTTATAAGGTTGTTGTAAGGAATGAGAGTTCATCTGTATAAAGCACTTGGAATAGTGCTTGACAGATTTTTTAAAACTACCTTATGTGTATGTATTTTGATTGCAAAGTACCTCAAATCCATTTTGAAAGCATGCAGGGTTTAAGAGTATTTCTAGTAAATCTTTATTTTGTTTTAAATTACAGAATTATTATATCCTCTCTATAACCAATTCAAACAACAGATAAGTGATTACAGAGGATCCCTGCCCCTTCCCCTATCCAGGTAACCACCAACCACAGTGCTGCCCCCATCCCCATCTAGGTAACGACCAGTCACCTGTGCTGCCCCTCCACCCATCCAAGTGACCACCAATCACCTGTGCTGTCCCCACCCTCATTCAAGTGACCACCAATCACAGAGCTGCCCCCACCTCCATCCAAGTAACCACCAATCACAGAACTGTCCCCACACCCATCCAGGTGACCACCAATCACAGTGCAGCCCCCATCTTCATTTGGGTAACCACCAGGTAGGCATGTTGAAGTGTCTTTGATATCCCATTTCTCTGACTCTGTCCCATTCTCCTCATCTGTAAAATTTAGGCTCTCTGGAATACTGTCTTCTATATATCTCCATTTGCTGAGATTCTGTTGAGTTTGTCTTTGTATACTTTATACTATACAGTACAATGCACATAATATATTGAATATACGTTTTCAAATAATACATACTTCCTCCCAGATTCTGACATGCCTCCTCCCTGGCCAAGTTGAAAATCATATTACTCTCAGATGATCTCTACCCAAAACTTAGCTTTATATTAGTTCTACTTTTCACATTTTTTAAAAAGCCTGGTGGATTTAAATTTGCTTATCGAGAACAATACCTACTTTGAAACTCTTTATCAATAAAATGGGAATAATAACACCTCCATAATAATCAGGTTGCTCTAAGGATTTAATGAGATTAAACGCATAATGTGACTCTTAACTGTTGGTTGTACTTCCATCTCTCTACAAACTGTTAGGGTGAGAAGGTATTGTTGTTAGGTGCCGTCGAGTTGGTTCCTACTCATGGCAACCCTATGTACAACAGAATGAAACACTGCCTGGTTCTGTACCATCCTTAGAATTGTTGCTTTGTTTGAGGCTGTTGTTGTAACCACTGTGTCAGTCCATCTTGTTGAGGGTCTTCCTCTTTTGTGCTCACCCTCTACTTTACAAAGCATGATGTCCTTCTCCAGGGACTGGTTCCTTCTGATAACATGTCCAAAGTACCAGAGATGAAGTCTAACCATCCTCGCTTCTAGGGAGAACTCTGGCCATACTTCTTCCAATACAGAGTTGTTTGTTCTTCTGGCAGATCATGGTATATTCAGTATTCTTCACTAACACTGTAATTCAAAGGCATCAATTCTTCTTCAGTCTTCCTTATTCATTGTCCAGCTTTCTCATGCATATGAGGTGATTGAAAATATTATGGTCTGGATCAGGTGCACCTTAATCTTCAAGGAGACATCTTTGCTTTTTAACACTGGAAAGAGGTCTTTTGCAGCAGATTTGCCCAATGAAATACATCATTCGATTTCTTAACTGCTGCTTCCATGAACGTTGATTGTGGATCCAAGTAAAACGAAATCCTTGACAACTTCAATCTTTTCTCTGTTTATCATGATGTTGCTTATTGATCCAGCTTTTTTGTTTGTTTGTTTGTTTATGTTAAGGTGCAATCCATACTGAAGGCTGTAGTCTTTGATCTTCATCAGGTGTTGGGGAGCCTTAATTATAATCCACCCTCATCTAAGAAAGTATCCTGGAGAAGGGTGCTCTGGGGAAGGGGGAGGTTTTTGCCATGCAAGATTTCTCTCTTTCTGCCCTGCAGTATACACCTACATCCAAAGCCGGTTCTACCGATCCCCGGAGGTGATTCTGGGTCACCCCTACAACATGGCCATTGATATGTGGAGCCTGGGATGCATCATGGCGGAGTTGTACACAGGCTACCCTCTGTTTCCTGGGGAGAATGAAGTGGAGCAGTTGGCCTGCATCATGGAGGTGAGGGGAGTGCCTGGCTGCAGCTGGGTCTGAGATGTACAGGATAGCTGCAGCTCCAGCCTAGGGTAGTGGCCTGCAAACTTTTATTTTTTGTTTTGGTTTGATGTCCCCTAAAAAGTATTTTTTGAAATCATGTACCCACTTGCACATTGTTGAGTTGACATCTTACATTTTTATCATCAATTTAAATAGTTGCAAAAGGAACGCTGGAGGCTCAATGGTTAAGCGCTGGGCTGCAAACTGAAGGTTGGTAATTCTAACGCACCCAGTGGCTCCATGGGAGAAAGACCTGGCAATCTCTTACCATAAAGATTACAGCCTAGACAACCCTATGGGACAGTTCTACTGTGTCGCATGGGTTTGCTATGAGTCAGAATCTACTCGATTGCACACAACAACAAAAATAGTTGCAAAGGATGTAATTTCCAGCATATTGTAAATAGTGTCACTTTAAAATAAACCTGGTATACCACTCTTTCAAATATATCCAAAAGAGTATAAAAACCACAGTGATGTCATACACACCAAAATCCTCTGAAAAGTACGTGAATGAGTTCTCCTTTAACAGTTTTGTGTTTCTTTTACTTTTTTTTCCCCTTGAACTCATATTTTCATCCTACTTCATCCACAGAATTTTGTCCTATTTTGATATGGTCTTATATTTTGAAATCTTTTATCAGTCACTGTATCTTTAAATTTTCTTTTCTGTTGGCATAAGCTCCATGTGTTAAAAATTTTTTTTTCTGGTAAGTTATCCTTAAAACATAATTAGTGCATAAATTTTGATAATTATTAAGCATAAAATGTAAAATTTTATTGGGCATACAACTTTCAGAGATATGGATAGAACTGGGTTTTCTCTTTTTCCAATTAATTCCTGTTCCTGTAGATAACTATTACTTATTGCTAGAAAGAAATGTTCAGGATTGATTCCATGCCACTGTTTTGGGTGTATAGATGTGAGCACTGGAAGGAAGCCTGTTCTAGCTATGTCAACTAATTCTTTGACTCCTTTTGACTTACTGTATGTTAAAACCAAATTGTGATCAGTCATCAAAAAAATATTTTTAATAACCAATCAGTTGATAACCTTATTTCAATTTTGTTGAAAACAAATAATTAAAAAGTATTTGACTTATAAAATATCTTTATTGTTCAGTCATTAGTCATTCAGTATCTTAACTCATATGATGATAGCCATGCCCCCTCCCCCCCAAAAAAAAACAGGATTCAGCATATGAGTACTAATTATATCTATTACTCTTTCACTTAGAGTCATCTTGTTATGGAGCTAAATTAGACAAAACAGGGGGAAATAACCCTAAAAATTTAGAAATTTCTCGTTTTAGGATTGTTCCAGTGAACAAAGATATTTTGGCTGTGAACAAAGATGTATCCATCCATCCATCCCTCCCTCCCTCCCAAATATCTCTTTTCTAGGTTATCTCAAAGTTACAGATGGTCAGAGAGACATATCCTTGAGAATTATTAATTATAGATAATTTCATTTCATGGCTGAAACTAATAATAAAATATTGAAATAATTTAGGTAATAATAGATATAAACAGTAGCTATGGTGGAATGAGCACTGGCCTGGGAATTAGTAAACCTGAGCTATAGCCCTGCCTCTGCCTCTTTGGCAAGTGACTTCACCTCCTTGGACCTCTGTAAAATAGAGGATCAGAGTAGATGGCTTCTAAGGATGATATTGGATAATTTTATGATGCATCCCTGAATCATTCCCACTTCCAGTACCAACAGAGTAGGGAGTATAGGATCTGGGTTCAGATTTCTACTGCTCCAGAACCGACTCAGTTTCCTCTTGACCTCAGTATCAGTGGGACTGAGGAGCAAGAGGGTAGGGTCAAGCACAGATTATGGCTTGGGATCCCAGCTGCAGGGACAAGTGATCCACATCTGAGGGTGACTCTGTAATTTCTCTGTCTCTGTGCACCCCTATAGGTGGCAGTGCAGAAAGGTGAACAAGTGGGTGGTATGCTTTCTTCAAGAAGGTAGTTTGTCTTATAGTGGTCTGAGGCCCATCTGGTGATTTCCATCTCCTTTTCCTCTCCTCCTTTCCCAGTGCTCCATACTGAGATATGTCATTCTAAATCAGGTATGGCCAGTGTGCACCCTGGTTTATTTGCTCTGACAATGAGATGTGGCTGCCATCAAAAGTGACCTGCTTCTAGTTGGCACTCATGTCTATTTAGAATAACATGGCCAGTGTTGGTTCTCAGGATACCGAAGTGGCCCTGGACTAGGAGTTTAGAGACTGGACTTTGGGCCTGTTCTGCCACTGACTTGATGTTATCACTTAGTATCCTCAAGTCCTTATCTGTAGAAGGAAAAGTTTGATCAAAGTCCCACCCAACTCTAACAGTCTTTGAATCTGTGACTGACTCCACAAAGAATGAACCAACTGCATTGTACTTGTTGAAGGTGCTGGGCCTGCCGCCAGCCCACTTCATTCAGACGGCCTCCAGGAGACAGATATTCTTTGGTAAGTCCCGTGTTCTGTCATTTTCCCATGGTGACTTATGAGGTATCACAGGCCTTGAAGACACCTCCCATACCCTAAACACCATTTGGTGGTATTCCCTTTGCCCCATCTCAAAGGGCAAGCTGATTAGGAGCGTCTTTTAGAAGAGTAAAAAGATGCTGAGACGTGGTGCCAGATGGCATGATGGAGAATGGGCTGGGGTGGGGTGTGGGGGGCATGTTGAGGATGAGGTCTTAGCAGTGAAAATATATAGGATCTGGAGAAAAACCAGGTTCTTGCTTTGAAAATCTATTAGCAAGCAAATCTTAAAATCTCAAAAAGATTTGCCCTATGCAATATGTCATTTGATTTTTTTTTTGTTGTTGTAGTTTAAGTGAAAGTTTACATTTCAAGTTAGTCTCTTATGTAAGAATTTATACATACATTATGTGACCCTAATTGCTCTCCCTATACTATGACAGCACACTCCTTCTTTCCACCCCTGATTTCCCATGTCCATTTAACCAGCTCCTAACCCTCTCTGCCTTCTCATCTCACCTCTGCACAGAAGCTGCCTGTTTAGTCTCATGTATTTACTTGAGCTAAGAAGCACACTCTTTACAAGTATCATTTTATGTCCCGCAGTTGTCATTTGATTTCTTGACTGCTGCTTCCATGGGCGTTAATTTTGGATCCAAGTAAAATGAAACCCTTGATAACTGCAATCTTTTTTCCATTTATCATGATACTGCTTATTGGTCCAGTTTTGTTTTTTTTTTCCCTTTGTGTTGAGGTGTAATCCAGAAGAGCATAATCTCAAAAGATTATAATTATGCCTTCTCCTAGAAGTTCTCCCCACCTCTCCCAATCAACTTGCCCTCTCACATTATTATGATTTCACCTCGCTGTGCAGGGAAATCAAAGAGTAGAGCTTCTTTTCAAGAATAGTGGATAATTCTATTGCTACATTCTATATTAATGGAGCACTGTTCTTCCCTGCTGAAAACCTCTTAATCCCTCAAACCCTTACCATCAGGGTTCATTGCAACTTTTCTGTAAAATGGGTAGGCAAGGGCTGCTGGAACAGTTATACCGTGGGAATGTTTTCGTTGGTCAGTTATATACAGGTCACCTGTCTGATTGCTGGGATTAAGCCTCATCCCCAGGCCTATGTTGCTCCCCTCATCACAGTTCCCAGGCTCTGGATTTTGTGATCCTCTGCCATTCTATTTGAATGCTGCTGTACAAGATGGATAGGGCTTCCAGGGCACTGTGCACCAAAAAGATGAAGTAAGTCCCAGACTGAAATCCCTCTGAAGAACCACAAGAAGCTAAGGGATTCCCAGGTAGGAAAAACCATAGTGGTCAGAAAGTCAGCCAAGTGGAGCAAAGCCAGACATGAGGGGAAGGGGACTCCACAGGCAGACTTCTTGCCTCTAGAACATTTCTGACCAGCCATTGTGGTTATGCTAGTTCACAGGCTCAGGCTGGCTGTCAAATCCCAGTTATTCGTAGTCCTTCTCCCATCTCTTATTTTCAAGCAAGAGTGACCTCAGAGTAGGGGAGACAGGTCACATGATTTTTTTCTACAGCCCCATTAACAAGGGAGTCCTTGAGGGATCCTCCACAATGAGCAAAAGGGGTTTAGTTATGCATGCAAAGCTGATGGTCATTGTTTATGTACTAGTTCAGCCATGTAGCTATTAAAATGTTAGACCACTTCTGTACCAGTTGGTAAATAGCCACAACCATGAGCCCCTGCCACAGCCACAGCCTCCCTGAACTCTCTCCCAGGACTCCTTTGATCACTTCATGGTCTAGAAACTGAAAGGTTAATGCCTGGCAAGCTGAGGTCTTCCATGATCTAGCTTCAGTGCCAAGGCTGGCATCCATTCCGATTTGTTGGTGTCCACACCATACCAATGGTTAAATCTTTGAACATCATGGCCAGAGCTTTGAAGACTTTGTCTGTGAGCGAGGACAATGCCCTGGTTGCCTTAGAACAGTGCAGCCCCCACCCTTGTTTGGATAACCACCAGGTAAGCATGTTGAAATAACTGTGATCTCCCATTTCTCTGACTCTGTCCCATTCTCCTCATCTGTAAAATTTAGCCTCCCTACAATACTGTCTTCTATACATCCCCATCTGCTGAGATTTTGTTGAGTTTGTCTTTGTATACTTTGTGTTATAGAACACAATGCAAGTAATGTATTGAATATACATTTTCAAATAATACATACTTCTTCCCAGATTCTGATGTACCTCCTCCCTGGCCTTAGAACAGTGTCCGCACACTTACCTTTCTTCCAGATCAGTCTGATTATAGGCAGAGGACCTGGCTGGCTCTCTGTTATAACTTATACAAGGGACTGGTCTCTTGACGTTAAAGAACTTGGCTGCTAACCAAAAGGTCAGCAGTTCGAATCCACCAGCTGCTCCTTGGAAATCCTACAGGGCAGTTCTACTCTGTCCTATAGGGTTGCTATGAGTCAAAATCAACTTGATTGCAACGGGTTTTTGTTTTTGTTTTTTTGTTTTTAACTTACAATTCAGCCTTTTGAAGGATTTTAGGGAAGGAAAGTGAGGATATTAGTTTTCCCTTTTGCTAGACAAAGAGATTGTGGGATGTCACATCTTAAGACTATAACACTGAACTCATGAGGTAGCATCTAGGTGAGGAGTAGAAGGAAGGGAATATAGGGCAGCTTGGTAGGAGAGTACCAAAGACATGCATGCCCACTTTGTAGAGTACCCAATTTCTATCATCAGCACTAGGCTTTTGGATGGTGATGTGGTTTTGGTAGCAATGTCCACATGTCTTCAATTCCTGAGTAAGAAGGGACTGCATAGGCAGCTGCTTTCTCTTTAGTTTTCCCAAACTTTATTTGATTTTAAGAATTATTTGACACTTGGTGGTTGTTGTTGTTAGGTGCCATTGAGTCAATTTCGACTAATAGCAACCCCATGTGACAGAGTAGAACTGCCCCATAGAGTTTTCTGGGCTGTAATCTTTACAGGAATAGATCTCCAGGTCTTTCTCCTGTGGAGCTGTGGGGTGGGTTTTAACCACCAACCTTCTGGTTAACAGGCGAGTGCTTAACCATTGTGCCACCAGGGCACTTGGGAAAAATGTTAATTTCAGGCTCCTCCTCTATAATTATGATATAGCAGATTTGGAGTGGGACCCAAGATTCTATGTTTTTAACAATACCTCCTTGTGATCCTTATGATAAGGTGAATTTGGGAAACACTGTGTTCACCTCAGTTCTTGGCACTCCCTTCCCCAGGTTTGGGCCCCTGCCAACTGCTCCTCAACCCCCAGGCACAACTGGTTAATACTCCTAATTAGTAGCAAAGTGCTTTTGCCCCCAGGTGGTAAGATACTTAGGTGCCCCAGGGAGCAAGGAGGTGGAGAGCAAAAGTAGATATTGGGGATGGTAAGAAAAACTTGTGCAGGAAAAATAATTAGTTAATAATAGCTTTAGAAGCTATGTTATTTATAAGCCTGTGTGCTTGATTCTTCTATGGCCATTTATAAAAAATAACATAGGATAAGATGGGAGCACTGGAAGCACAATCAAAAAGGAAATGAGGATTTTTATGAGCTCACAGTTCCTTTACCCTACTCAATACCCCCTGCCCATTTTTATTCATATAAATACACAGGTACCTGTTTGTGTGTGTACACACATGCCCATTCATGGAAGTCTGTCTTCCAGGAATACAGTAAAAGCACATGTTCTTTGAGAGGTCCTGCAAATGGCATGGTTACAAAAGTCATGGAAGCACTTTATTGTGCACTTTCTGGACTGTCCATTAAAGAACCCTACTGAGTTTTTGTGGGGATTCAGTATTATGGGTAAATTGTGTGTGTGCTTATACATACTCATATGCCTGCAGATTTGCAAGGTGTGAGCATGAAGTGACCAACTTTTCTGAACATGCACATTAGAATCTAGACATCCAAATGAGTGGTATCACCTTCAAAGCAATGTGCAAAGTATCCTTGGGAGCCTTTGGAACTGTCTTCAGGGTTTCTTTTCAGGGATGGCAAATCATACATTTGATGAGGGATTTAATCTGTGGAAATGGCTGAAAACCATTTGAAGCCATGTCTTAAGCAACCAACGAAGTATGATCACTTCGATTATGGACAAAATTTTGGTGTACCTATAAAGACGTAATGAGGTTAATTTGTTTGTGTGGCTTATGAGCTCTGAAAGCAAATCCTTATGCTAAAATGGATTTCTTGTTATACCCTGTGAATGTCCCAAATTCTCACTTTATTGGGCTAATGGGGAAAGAGTAAGGGCATAAACAATCCAAAAATGGACAATATCTTTTTTGATCAGAGCTGAATGCTTTTGTCACTTCAGATTTATTCTATTACTATTATTACTACCATTGCTGCTGCTGCTATTACTACAACTACTACTACTTTGGTTAATACTAAGCCATTTAAACCATCTGGTTGGGAAAGGAGGTGGTGGGAAGGAGGTTCAGAACATACTGGGTAGTAGGAAAAATTGGTTTTTAAGTTTAATTGTATTCATTGCCTAATCTACATGTGGTTGTTTAGACTGACTGAGACCATGTGTGTGCTTGTGGTGGTGGTGGCGGGGGGCAGGGTGTAAGACAGAGTGAGACAGCTGCCAAAGACTACCCCAAGAAGCAGCAGGGCTAAGTGAACAGCTGTGATGTGGCCCATTAATATTTACACCTGGAACTAAATACAGACTGTTATATCTCTAAAGATTCCAAAGGTTTTCCTAAAAATATAACCAACAACAGGGGGAAAAAAAGATACCCGGACTCCAAGGATCTCATGATGGTGCTGAAAACCTACGACACCAGCTTCCTTGACTTTCTCAGAAGGTGTTTGGTGTGAGTTGGTTGGGTTATTTTTGTGTCTGGGCTTTCTCTTAAATACTGTCCTTTTACATAGGTTTGCTGTGAAGGCTGGGGCTGGGAGACAATTATAAAAATAACAATAAATCCTCTTGTATTAGGAAAGTAGGGAAAGGGTGAGCTATGAAACATTATGATGTATAACTTTTTAGAATTCATATGCATATTTTGAATCTTAGAAGTCAGGTTCTTTACCTTAGTCAAGTCATAGTAAAAATGGAACTATCACAGAAAGCCCCCAGCCAGTGCCCAGTTTAGAAGATATTTAGAAAATGTTAGCTATGGTTACTATCTTACTGCTATTAAAGAGGTTTTGCAAGCCTGTCTCCTCTGAGTGACAAGTAGAGTAGCTGAGCGATATTTGGCAAGTGATTGTTGCTGTGTGGGCCTCGGTGTCCTTTTCTATAAAATGAGGTTCTCTGAAGGTCCCTTCTAGCTTTATCAGTCCTATAGTTGTTTAGTATTTTCAGAAGGCAATATGTTTATATTCTCTCATTCTTCCTGTGGGATGGAGAAGTTTTAACCAATCACTGTTGTGGCATTTGTGCATCCTGGAGTTTAGTTACCAGCTCAGATGATAAACCATCATTTACCGCTGGAAGTTTTGCCATCTGGGGGTTATGCTATTAACCTGAATAAAGGAGGTAGAAAAGGATCCTGTACCCCATCTTTACTCTTATTCTACCCTAGCCTCTTGCTGAGGCTGTAGACAAACTCACCACTGAGGCAGAGGTGAGTTATCCAGAACAACCCAATCATTCAGAAACATCACAGAACCAAGTAAGAAACTTTTTTTTTTTTTTTTTTTTTAAGAGCAAAGGGCTGGTTGTTTACGACTTGCAAGAGGGAGCTGAGCTGATAGGGCCTGTCACCTTATAACTCCAGTTGCAAATTACATCAGTTACTAATTAGCTGATGTTTGGAATGAGAGACTAAAGGTTTAGAGTCAAGTTTAATAGGGTAAATGGAAAGTCCTGTGTCTAGGTTTTATAGGCTAACTTTAGAAGAGGGGAGATGTAGCTTAACGGCAGTTCATTTGACAAAGAACTGGAAGATTGAGTTGTTTATAACCTTGATAAGTCTATAATGTTAGTGCTGTCTTCCTGCAGTTACAATAGGAGATATTCCCAGCATGATAGACACCAGTAAGGCAACAGCTGACATTTCCTGTCTTGGAAGGTGGAAACCCTTTCATGTGATCAGTAGTCAGTAGTGATGTGAATGTCTTTAGTTAGCTGGAGGACTGTGACATAAAAGGATTAGTTGTCTTACACTGTATAATGCCAATAGGTAGAATTACTAGGGTAAAAATGACTGGGAAATGAGTTTTGGATCAATAAAAATGAAGAACTTTTAAAGAATTGGGGTTTTTCAAAATTAGAATTGGTGGCTCCCTGAGATAGCACCTAGTCACTGAAATTACTCAAAACAGCAGGATGATTCCATGTTAGGGCTGTATCAAATGTGTTCAGTTTTAGAAGTTTGGCTGCATTATATTTGAGTCCCATGATAAATCTTAATATTCTAGTATGTTTTAATTCTCTTTGTGATATATTTGGATGCAGAAAATCCATAGTATGGGAATTGAAATTAAGCATCTCTTTGTTTTGATCTTAGTTTACTGACCGCTAAGGAGATTATCTATAATATTTATTGTAAGAGAGTTTCTAGGAATTCTGGAAGACTTGGGCTCTAATATATTTCCTAGCTTGGTATTCACTTTTTCTATAAAAAGATCATTCTAATATTTATTGCCTGGAACCTTTAGGAAACCCTGGTGGTGCAGTGGTTAAGAGCTACGGCTGCTAACCAAGAGGTCAGCAGTTCGAATCTACCAGGTGCTCCTTGGAAACCGTATGGGGCAGTTCTACTCTGTACTATAGGGTCACTATGAGTTGGAATCGACTCGATGGCAATGGGTTTGTTTTTTTGGGTTTGGTACCTTTAAGTTATATGTCATAATCTCTGTTCTATGATATCTTTGAGTTACATTTTAAATAAAAAAAATATTAGGTTCTTAAAAATGTTTTAATATTTAAAAGAATAATAGAACAATAATCAGTGCTGGGCTTTGTTGGTGTGTAGATGGGAACCTTCTCTTCGCATGACCCCTGGCCAGGCCCTCAAGCATGCTTGGATTCATGAGCCACGGAGCCTCAAACCCCGGCCCAGGCCCCAGACCCTGAGGAAGCCCAGTCTCAGTTTCCCCTCTGAGGGAAAGAAGAACAAGGTTCAGGGGCATCACCACTTGGGCAGAAAAGGTACAGCCCCTTCAATAGTCAGTCCCATTCCTGAGGCATCAGGGCACCAGGCATCTATGGAGGATTTGCATGCCAGTTTTTCTGAACTCAACTTTGGATAATTAGTCAGGCTACATCACTGCAGGCTGCCATTTCTTCTCTGCCTTTTGAGATTTTCCTCCTTCAGGACTTTTGGCTCCAGCTAGGTTCTCTTGTCACTTTTTGCCTGTTATCTTTAGGATTTTTAATTTACTCCTATCTTTTAATTCCCTAAGGAGCCCTGGGGTGCAGTGGCTAAACACTCAGCTGCTAACTGAACAGTCAGTGGTTTGAACCTACCAGCCACTCCATGAAAGAAAGATGTGGCAGTCTACTTCCGTAAAGGCTACAGCCTTGAAAACCCTAGGGTGCAGTTCTGCTCTGTCCTATAGAGTCACTATGAGTTGGAATTTACTCAACGGCAATGAGATTTTTGTTTTTTAAAGTATCTTCGCCACCAGGATTTCCCCAAAGCCCTTTACTGTCTAATGGACAATGTAGTTCATATTTGAATGCAGCTTGTTCTTTTTTCTCTCTTCTTGGGCAGATAAGATCACCAAAGAAGAGTCTGCCGAGAAAATAAGAAATGTAGCTACTTTGAAGTCGGTTCAGAATGCAGGTGATCAGCAGGGCTTTCTCCAGCACAGGGCTGACATGGTCCAGCTGCCTCATCTAGTAGATGCTCCCGGAAAGCCAGAGGCACTTATTGGGTCAGAGCAGTCCCCGACCTTCACAGGAGATCAAAGCAAGAACTCCTCCCTCAAGAACACAAACATTTTACCACCCATTGTATGACCTTGGCTGAGGGTGTGTCCTGTTCCTTTCCACCAATGATTTGTATTAGAGACAGCACTTATATTGTACAATACTTCAGATTGTTGTTTTTTAATGCATAAAGGTTTGTTTTAAAAAAAAGATTCGCATGGCCAGCTTGGCATGATTCCTCTTATGAGGGACAGGGGAGAATGTACTTGCACCTACATTGCTTCCCTCTGCTCCCAACCAGACAAACAATGAATGGTTTTTGTACTCACACAATGTTATTGCTAGTTTAATGTTTTAAAAACAATGGTTTTTATACTTAAACAATGTTATAGCATCATTAATGGAGCTCTAAATAAAATAAATTTTCCTTCTCACTCAAGACTGCCACCATTTGTCAGTCAGGATTCTTGTTTGAAAATGACAGAAGTTGAATTCAAACTAGTTTAAGCAACAAAGGACATTTGTTACTTCATGTAATTGGAAAATCAGGAAGGGTGGATATAGTGTCAGGCATAGCAGGAGCTAGGAATTCAAACAAGGTTGTACAGGTCTGATTCCCTTTCCATCTATCAGCTTTGCTTGTCTTTATGGTTAACGTCATTTTGATGATGGCTTTTTCCAGAATGGATGACCACCAACATCCAGTCAAAAGATGGCAGTCTTCCTTGCAGGCACGAAAGTTCCAGAAATGACTGTTTGGATTAGGCACAGATCATATGCCTGTAAGTGAGCCAATCACAACGTCTGAGAGATTGGGATCATCTGATTGGCCAGCCTGTGTCACAAGCCCACATTGTGGTGGTGGTGGTGGCTGCACCATGAGTGATGCCCTTCTAGGACCACATGGAACAGGGGAGGGATGCTTTCTAAAGGAAGGGAAATTGATTAAACGAGCAGGCTATGTTTACTTGTCCACACCACGCCCCCCTAAATCTAACCAATTCAGTTTATTCATTTCCCTTTCAGTCCTTATCTATAAATTATGAATTATAATCTGTAAATTATGCATATATAATTTATATGATTGCAATCATAGTATACACTTTGACATGAAAATTAAGATCATAACATCATAAATAACATGGAAAATATACCTATCTTGATAGTTTTCGTTTTAGTGTTTGAAAAAATTCCATCAAGGGAGACACTGGGTAACTGTAGCTATGGGTTTGGATAAGATCACTCAGGGAAGATGATACAGAGTGAGACGAGCAGAGGATCAAGAGAAAGTCCTGAGAAAGATAAATATGCAAGGGGTTGACAAAAGTTGACTAGACTTCTTCCTCCAAAGGATCCAGAGAAGTAAGAGGAAAATTGAAAGCCAAAGAAGTAGAACATTTCCAGAAGTGAAAAAAATAAAAAATAAAAAAAGATCAACAATACAAAATTCCACAGAAAGGTCAGGATAAGAATGGAAACTTTCTTAAGTGGGGTGATAGGGACTTTAAGTCAGAGCAGGTGACATATTAGTTGACTTGTCCAAGGTCCTATAGCTAGGAAGGCACAGCACTGGCAATAGAAATCAGATCTTCTGGACCTTTTTAATTTGACACCAGCTGTGGATAAAGTTGGAGGTAGACAGTTCTGCAGCTCCACACACATAGGACAAGAAACCAGGTCCTCGACATCATAACATCATAATGAGAATGATTTAGATTCGATGTTATAAAGCATTTTCTGATTTTCATGGTTATAAAAGGCTGAAATGAATTATTGCTAAATTGTGGCTTCTTATTTTGAGAGAATACTTTAAAGGAGGGGAGCTGCAAACTATGGCACAGACGGGCATGGAGAACAGGCTCTATGACCTTGGTCAGCGCCTCTCAGTCCAGCACTATTTCACCTATGCTCTCCATCTGATTATCTTTTCCTTCCTGAGATTTCTTTACCTTATTGTCCCATTGGACAATATGGTAAATCTTAAAGAAATCTAGGGTAAATCTTAAAGAAACCAAACGCCTTGAGCCCTTTAATTGTAATTTAATTTTATATCCTTGCTTGCATGGACAGGAAAATCTGCGAAATCCAGTGACTAGCATAAGATGACATGTCTTTCATGTGAGTGGTATGAAGATAATGTTAGGGCTCTGAGGGACACTGTGGAGATGAGAAAGAAGGGAGGGGACAAGGGCTGGGCCCATTGCTGGGAAAGGGGACGCATGGGTGGCACCAGTTACAGGTTCACCATCAGCCAGTCCAGCAGCTGCAGCCGCGTCACATTTCCCACCGCCTCGTCCAGCTGTCGCTCCTTCTCATAGCGCAGCACTGACTGCAGAACCTCACCCACACTGCGCCCTTTGTCCACAGCGGTCGCCGAGAGCTGGAGTAGCTGTGAAGAGGAAAGAAAACAGCAGTGGAGGGGCTGAGCATCCTACAGCTGGCCACAAAGAGCCTGCCAAGGTTAGAACAAAGAGGTCAGGTAGACTCTGGAGAACTGCAGCAGGGGGGACTCAGATGTTGAGAAGACTTCCTTAACTGTCATGTTTGCTGGACTGTTTGACACAAGAAAGTTGGCAAAATCCCCCTTAATTTAAAGAAAAGATGTTAACACCCACCTGTCCATGATATGGAGAATTATGATTTCCCATTAAGACCAAAATCGTCTGATGTTTTTCCCTATAATGCTTTGCTTCCAGTGAGTATATAGCCAATGGTGTTCTTGCTTTCTAAGAATTCTAGTGCTAAACTCACCCTGATCTCGTAAAACAGCTTCTATCATTGTCCTAAGACCAACAAGGGCGAGAGAGAAAATATTCAGTGGAAAAAGTGGATGTTGCCTTCCATACCTCATAGCCAGAGAAGCCCAGAAGGCACCTCAGAGGTTCATTCAACCTCCTTGAAAATGTTGCCCAGAGAGGTGAAGAGACTTGTCAGTAGTACACTGCTGGTAATTAGCAGAGCCAAATCCACACCCAGGTCTCTGAACTCTATGTTCAGTTCTCTTTCTATGCATAAAATAATGAAAAAATTAACCAAAGCAGCCATTCTAATATGAACATAGTATATTACTATTTATCTGGGATCCTAAGGGCAACAAGTAATCAGGTTTTATTTTGTGCATTCTGCTCCTTATTTGTTACAAGAAAGAGTCAAAGGGGAAACGAACAGGTCAATTATCAGGAGCTTTATCAGAAGGGGAAATTTCCATGCAGGAAGCTATGTGCATGTGCCTGCACACCTGTGCCGTTTCCAAATGTATCATGATATTTCTGTATAGACCAAGTCTGAGGGTTAGTACATATTCAGACCAATTTCCTCTATTTTCCAAATTTATTGTTCTGCCTAAGAAGAACTAATATCGTTAAAGTAGTATCAAAATACTGTGAGATGCTGGCTTATTGGCTGAGTTTGGTTTCATTATTATATTTTAATGTAATAATTCTTTGAAAATTGGCAATGTCCCCATAGTATACCTAAGTATTCAACTGAGAAGCTGTAATGACAAGACACTGAATATATGTTAGGTCAACTATGTGGGATGCTGTTAAGTCTATCCTATTGAGAGAGCCAAGATTGAGAAGATGGGCGTTGGAAGGTAGAGGAAACTCCAGTCCTTCTAGGTCTAACTCTCTTGGAAATGGACTTCAAAGTGTCTAGACATGCTGTAGGTACTCCTGGGTACTAGGGAAAGAACAACCTCTGCCACACGGGAGTGGCTAGAAGCCAGGGAGAGAAGGAATCTCTCCATTGGAAAACGAAAGCTGCAGATAAGGGAGCTAAACCATGCAAACCAAATTATCAAGATGATTCTCCTCTTTTTTTCCAAGCCTTGGTGGTGCAGTAGTTAAAGAGCTTGGCTGCTAACTAAAAGGTCAGTGGTTCAAACCCACCAGCCACTCCACAGGAGAAAGATGTGGCAGTCTGCTTCTGTAAAGATTTACAACCTTGGAAACTCCATGGGGCAGTTCTACTCCATCCTATAGGGTCATTATGAGTCGGAATTGACTCAACGGCAGTAGGTTTGTTTTTATGAGCCCTGGTGGCACAGTGGTAAAGAGCTTG